GCAACAACAAATGCAGGAGTAGACGACCAGTGTGGCAGCAGCCTCAGCAGTAGTAGGTCTCAATATACACAAAGGGAAAAGCAAGATTCTCCCATACAACACAGCATGCACCAATCCAATCACAATTGACGAAGAAGATTTGGAAGATGTAAAAACCTTTACATATCTGGGAAGCATCATTGATGAAAATGGTGGGTCTGATGCAGATGGGAAGGCGCGGATCGGCAAAGCAAGAGCAGCATATTTACAACTGAAGAACATCTGAAACTCAAAGCGACTGTCAACCAACATCAAGGTCAAGATTTTCAATACAAATGTCGAGACAGTTCTACTGTATTGGGCGGAAACCTGGAGAACTACGAAAGCCATCATCCAGAAAGTAAAGGTGTTTATTAACAGTTGTCTACGCAAAATACTTCTGATCCGTCGGCCATACACTATCAGCAACAACCTACTGTGGGAGAGAACAAACCAGATTTCAGCGGAGGAAGAAGTCAGAAAGAAGTGCTGGAAGTGGATAGGACACACATTAAGGAAAGCACTCAACTGTGTCACAAGGCAAGCCCTCACATGGAATCCTCAAGGCCAAAGGAGGAGAGGAAGACCAAAGAACACACTACGCCGAGAAATGGAAATAGACATGAAAAAATGAACAAGAATTGGATGGAACTATAAAAGAAGGCCCAGGACAGAGTGGGTTGGAGAATGCTGGTCGGCGGCCTATGCTTCATTGGGAGTAACAGGCGTAAGTAAGTAAGTAAGTAAGTTGATAACTGTATTGCACTTGGCATAGTTGAACTTCACTGGTCATGTTTTTTTTCACTAGAACATCTGGAATTACATTTACAAACTATGCCCTAGTGATCACACTGTTAAGAAACCCCGTACTAGAATGAAATGCCCGTCCAATGCTTCCAGGTTTTCAATAATGATCTAACGAAGATTAGTTCATGAATTAAAATCTATGAAAATCCTATGACCTCCACAGAACCTTTTATTAATAATAACCGTATTTATTTCGCTTTCATGATCAACAAGTTTGAGTAAAGTTACGATTTAATATTTATTATTATTTCTCCGTATAGAAATGCATTTGTATGCTATCGATTTAAACTGTTTTTCCACGTCATTGATAATGTAACACCTGAAAGTTCTATCGAGTAAGCAAATGACAATGAATAAGATAGATTTCCTTTATTGATTGCTTACATCTACTGTATGTAGAATATTTTAAAAGCTTCATGTAATTGCTTTCGTCAGTTACCGCCCTAACCCTGTTTTACCCTACCACCACCACTATCACAGCATGGTTGCTTTAAATAACAACAATAAAGGTTTAATGGAAAAGGAGAAAAAGACTAAGAGGAGAGGTAAGAAGAATGGAAATTTTTTATTTCACACTGACAAGGTTATTAGTAAACAGAATATAGGATATTGTTAATAAACAAATAAACAAATAAAAAAGAGAAAGGGGTTATTTAGGGGATTTTTTTCCTTTTAAGAAAACGAATAAATTAAATAATAAACTCTTTTACTTACTAATTTGAATTTCAAATTAAACCAGGTCGAATAGAGAATGAACTTTTGATTGTTGACACAAAACAAAGTGAAAATACACATATACGCACACAACACTAGGGCTCCCCTTTTTTTCTTATCATGTCAATATTATCAACATTTATGTGCATACATTTTATGGGGAGAAAAACAGGAGCATTTAAAATGTCATCATTATTCCATTGTTTTCGTCTAATATATCTTTTCTTCTTTATGAAAGATTTTTTAAGTTGATACAAGAGGGAAAGTTTTACTGTAGAAGTAAGAAATGAAATTAGTTTTTTGAAAGCTGATATTAACAATAAGTAGAAAAGATGACCATTATTATGTAGATTGTCATCTGATGAATGATTCTAACGTCAAGGAGAATTGGATGACATTTTCGGTAACTGAATGAGGTAAATAAAATCTCATACAATGATTTATGAACAAATCTATACATTTTTGACGGCTTGAATGAAAGATATGAACAGGAGGCCCTTAAGTAAGAAATAGATCTAAGTCTTCAAGTCGATTATCTTCAGCCATTAGTTCTTAACAAAAATTAAACCTCACTCTTCAATAACTTTACTCCACATAACTTGAATGCTATGAAGAATGGAAAAATATACTATTACTTCAGTGACTGTATAATAACAAAAAAGATAGTTCTTGATGTGGTTGGAAGTCGTTGGTACAAAATCCTAGACTGAGTTCCCGCATTTAGTTGGCACTTATCATCAAGGTATGCATAAAATCTTGAGAGAAATTACTCCTCTTTATAGAATTCGAAGCTATGTCATCTAGTTTGACAGTCTCAGACATTGTCACTGAGCCTAATGTGCCGCAGTCAACATCCTGCAGGAATGGTGTGCAATAATGCTTGATTAGTCACTAGGTAGTAACATATTTGGTCTTTGTTTAAATCTTTATTGATAGTCGAACTATATCAATAAAGTTGCAATAAGATCGCTAATATTACTGACTCGAAAATAACATGCACTATGTTAAAGTAATAGATGGTTAGGTGATCATTCAATAAATCCGTTCATTTTAGTCATTCCCGACTTCATCGGTAGACATTCTGTAATAAAATTTAGTTAAACCAATAAAACACTGATTATTCTCTCGTTTTTGACCGTAATTAAAGTGATTTCAACAAATGTTATCAATAAATATCTTTTATAAAAATATAATATAGCCATGGGTAGTTTTTTAATTTACAAATTTAAGATCAATTTCATGAAAAAAAAGCTTTTTAAGTTTAACACGTCCTGTATTGTAAGCACCTGAAAAACTGAATTCCTGACTAATTCGTAGTCTTCCAAAGTCTTTGACTCTTGAAATATGAATAAAAATATAAAGCCGAAATTATAGAATAAGTTATATTCGAAAAATAAGATTATATACAGAAAATAAGCGAATTTATAAGATTACTATCACCTTGAAGTTCTAGAACCTCTGGTGATAGACATTAGAATTGTCGGTGAGTTTGTGAATTGTCCAACTAACATTTTCGTGGACATTAACACTGTTGGATGCCCGTTCAGTTGTCTAGAGTTCAAGCGTTCACGAGCGTGACTGAAGGTCCTGGATGCTCACTGCTCAGGAGTCCCACACTAGGACAAAATGGTCGTCCAGTACTCCCAGGTTCTGAATGGTGTTCTAGCATTGGCCGATCCATGATCTTAACCATAAGATTTTATAAACATATTATTTAGTTTTCTGAACTGTGCATAGAAAATTTCCAGAATATGCTTACTGGTTGAGCACTTTGATCAGCGTTTTTTTAATGATTCCTACATACTTTTACAAGAGATCATCATTGACTTTGATAACTTAAAAATCATTTGAAATGTAAGTCTATACTCGATATCGTCAAAGTTTATAATCAACTGACTATAATTTCAGTCAATATATTAACTTTATTGAAATCATGAGCCGATCCAACTTAGACAAACATGGGAAATCTTGAGACATTGGACGGCCATTTAGTCCTAGTACGAAGTCCTAGTAAGAATCCGTGATCAATGAAGTTCTACTGTCTCTGATGTGAAAAAGTTACCTAATTAAAATGACATAAGTTTGTCGTTCAGTATTCCAAATTGGTCGAAGTTAGATGGATGCCGGCTCAGTGATCTAGAGGTTAGTCGTTAGTGCACAAGATCTAAGGTTCTAGATTCCATTCCCAGTAGCGGGGTCGTAAATGCATTATTAAGTAATCCCTTACTAGGACGAAACATTCATCTAGTGCCTTCACGTTCTCAATGATTGTCTAACTAAGATCAGACCATGATAAAAAGTATAAAAGTTCACCAATCTCTAAAAATCCAGTAAGTTATTTAAAGAAGAAGAATGTATTTGTAAAATCTCAGCGAAAGAATGTGAAGCAGATCCAACATTTCTCCTGGTAATCTGATTCAAGCTCTTTCAAGGAGATATTTGCATGTTTAATTCAATTATATTGTTAAACTGTCTTTATCCTTATTTAACATTATATAACAAAAATTGTCTGTTTCAAACCAATCATAGTTTATTTCAATTTATTTCTAAAACTACAACCACCACTCCCTCATTTGTAGCACACCGACATCGGTTGTTCATTTCTTTTTTCTCAGTTTGCACGATTCATCCATTAAACTTTCATATGATTCTTAATACACACAAATATTAAGTTTATCAAGATTAGTAACACGTTTAATTCTTCATATGAGAAGTCGTGACCAGTGGAGCTAATCCATGTCGGGTAGAGACAGGTATCTACCTCAGTACAATGGAAGGTGGTCGCGCAATTTCGTGGATTGGTTGATGTTAGACATTAACACCATTGGATGCCGGCTCAGTGGTCTAATGGTTAAGTGCTCAGGCACGAAGCCAGTAGGTCCTGGGTTCGAATCCCGCGAGGTGCGGGATCGTGGATGCGCACTGCTGAGGAGTCCCATACTAGGACGAAACGGCCGTCCAGTGCTTCCAGGTTTCCAACGGTGGTCTAGCATCAATTAATTCGTGATCTTAACCAAAAAAAATAATAATGATTTCCCAATTTGTACGAGATGAAACATGATAACTAGTAAAATGTTTATTTTTATTTTGTATCACTATAACTATGTAATCGATGGCTTAATCTTAGTTTCTTTGTTTCTCATCTATTATCGATTCCTACTTGTCTGATATACACATAATAACGTGTATGTATTTATGAAAACATCTTTTTTTGACAAGCAAATGAATTTACCCCTCTTTTTTTGTCCGACATGTTAAACCTAAAAGCAATATCTTAATTCATCCATTTGTTGTTAGGATACTATTTTTTTCTTATCGACTATATTACACATTAATGTGTAAATATGTATAGGACATGTTTCTATTCACATTACTTCATCTGTAATACATATACACAAACATACACAATATACATATATAGACCAAGAAGAGATTCATAAAACTAAAGTTGTAATTTATCAATGAAATTAATAGTTGATCCATTAGAGAGACTGAATTCGAGATCATCATCATCATCATCATCATCATCATCATCATCATCATCATCATCATCATCATCATCATCATCATCATCATCATCATCATCATCATCATCATTATGGCCACTGAGTTCATCAATAGCTATCACTCAACAGTGTATTCAGTCGATGGATATTTCAATATCAAACTAAACATTTTGTCTGCATAGTAATGAATTGGATATATAAAATTACTTAATTCAAACATACATACATACATACATAGATATAAATCCTGTTTTTTTAGATTGATCATTTGTCGATATTACACATAGTTGATGGCTGACAACTATTTACAATTGAATGATTTAAACCACCTGTTTCAATAAATCATTCATTTCACAAGGAGTGAAGAAAAGGGAGATGAAGCAAGAAGGTATGGCAATTATGAATTTAACCATAAATGAAACTAACTAATATGGTTATGATTTTTGAATTTTTACACTGTAATATAAAATTTAATTTTAACAAATGAATTATAGTTTAGTGTTTATTCTTTCTAATTTACTAATTTTTCTCAACTATAACTTAAATTGACATTTAAAACACACACATCTATGTATGAATAAAGAATATTCTCTTCAGGTACTTCAATTTATCAGGAAAATTCTCGAAAACCTTATCAAGTAAAGTACTGTATAAAACATATTCAATAACTCAATCAAAGGTTGATAAGCACACCTTTTATGTTATCGTCAACTGTATTTATGAATTTACGTGTACCTACCAAAGTAGCTACATTAGCCAAACAGAAAGGAAAGCATATCCTAGATTTTTTTAAACATGTTCTAAAAGATCTCAGAATAAGAGAAAGAAAGACTGTAAACAGTGCAAACACTAAACATCTCTTGAATACAGGACGTCATGTCGATACCATGCAATCTTTCAAGGTGATTAGTAAGCAGCTAAACTCCAGTCTTTTGAAGCTTACTGAAGCCGTTGCTATCAGAATCTGATGTAGATGTGAAGGCGCGGATCGGCAAAGCAAGAGCAGCATATTTACAATTGAAGAACATCTGGAACTCAAAGCGACTGTCAACCAACATCAAGGTCAGGATTGTCAATACAAATGTCGAGACAGTTCTACTATATGGGGAGGAAACTTGGAGAACCACGAAAGTCATCATCCAGAAGATACAAGTGTTTATTAACAGCTGTCTACGCAAAATACTTCTGATCCGTCGGCCATACACTATCAGCAACGACCTACTGTGGGAGAGAACAAACCAGATTTCAGCGGAGGTAGAAGTCAGAAAGAAGTGCTGGAAGTGGATAGGACACACATTAAGGAAAGCACTCAACTGCGTCAAAGACAAGCCCTCACATGGAATCCTCAAGGCCAAAGGAGGAGAGGAAGAACAAAGGATACATTACGCCGAGAAATAGAGACAGACATGAAAATAATGAACAACAATTTGATAGAAATGGGAGGGAAGGCTCATGATAGAGTGGATTTGAGTATGCTGGCCGGCGGCCTATGCTCCATTGGGAATAACATGCGTAAGTAAGTTGCTATCAGGCGTCAAAAACCTGACTTATGTGTTCAAAAGGAGATATTTACTAATCTTTCCTTACCTTGGTGATAAATATTCCTTCGTTGCATTTTTTTTGAAACTTTTTTTCTCTAACTCTTTCTTGCACTTATTACATCATTGAGTTTTTATTTGTTATTTTAATTCTTATTTTATTAACTGAGCTTTACTCGTTTTTATGTATTATTTATTCACTTGTTTCTGGTTGTTTGAACTGTTGTCACAATCAAGGTTGTAGAATTTTCTTTTACATAAGGTATATATTTGAAATATTCAGTCTAGTAAACTTATTTACACCCTGACTACACTAACATGTCTTCAATATAACTTCATCAATGAGTACCTGAAATTTTCTGGGAGAACGACTTCTCTGTTTGACTCTAGTTTACGTCACCCAGCTATACGAGCATGAGATATTACCATGCCTTGACCTGATCAGCATGATCCAATGATTAATAAAGGTCGATACGAGCATGATGTTGTTCACCGTTCACTGATCAATCATTTGTAAATATTTCTGTTCTATAGGAAATTAGTCGGAGTTCAAACAACTCAGTGATGATGACTGTAAAACTGGGTGACATAGGATCGAAATATATAGGAAGTACTAATCCCTTCAAAATTGAAGATATGCTTTGTTGATTACTATTAGTTAAACCTGGGTCTAGATTTTCCTACCGATTATCTTTAACAACCTAAAATTAATAACTAATATTAATAACACGAATTGTTAAGATTTATAATTGTGTTGATTTGATCTGTTTAAGTTATTTTGAAATCTATGTTACAAACAATTTACAGTATTAATTATATTCATTAGAAAATAATCCTCACAGTATTTACAATTTATTCACTGTAGTTTGTCACACTTTTCATATGTAGCTACTATGGTGCGTGCTACTTATATTGATATAAGTAGTATATTTTGCGAGTTAGGAATGTGATGTCGGGCAGCAGAAGATGAGTGAAGATGAAGAAAGCAAGAGCGGGAATAGAATGCAATTTGTATGAAAATGTAGGAAAAATGAAGTTTGAGGCGTTTTGAGACAATTGGTGGACATTTTGAAAATTAACGATTTAATATATAGTTACTAGTATAGAGGTTGTGGAGATTATTATGTTTTTGGTTGAGATCATGGACCGATTGATGTTAGACCATCACAATTGAAAGCCTGGAAGCACTGGACTCCTCAGCAGTGCGCATCCACGATCCCACTCGCGGGATTCGAACCCAATTTCGTGGTCCAGTTGGTTAAGCGTTCGCACGCGAGACCGAAGGCCCTGGGTTCGAGTCCCGCGAACGGGATCGTGGATGCGCATTGCTGAGGAGTCCCACAGTAGGACGAAACGGCCGTTCAGTGCTTCCAGGTTTTCAATTGTGGTGGTCTAACATCAATCGCTTCATGGTCTCAATCAAAAACATAATATATAGTTCTCAGATCTTATTGAGATGCGTATATCTGTTTGGTCCTACGTAGTAGCAGACTGACTGATTGACTGATTGAGATGCTTTGTAATTTTGTGTCAAATACATTCGATTGTCCCCACCCGTGTTCTGATGACTACACTACAAGTTAATGAACTTAATGAATTGTAACATACTTAGGTAAATTAATTACTAAATTATTCATCCGATAAAAAGTAACAGTGAATTATCTGAAATATGAACTACTAACCAAGTTTAAATTGAAGATTTTCAAAGAAAAGTATCATAATAAGTAGCAAACATTTTACTTTATTCAACACTTTGAAATTATCACCACTATTATTTATTTAGAAATATTTTAAAAAAAAACTTTTATAAATCTTCAGTTATAATCCGATTAGAATCTTAATATTCAAGTAATTTACCATTTTCTAATAAATCCATCTTGAAGCTATTCACTAGTGAGCATATAATAATCATTAGTATAGGATTGTGAAGATTGCTGAATTTAGATTAATATGATGAATGAATCAATATTAAACCACCGTTGTAAACCTGGAATCACTGGACGACAATTTTGTCCATGTATGGGAATTCTGAGCAGTGCATTACACGTCGTGATAAACGGTGTTCAGGAATACGTAACACGTGGCCCAACCAATTCAGTCGATGAAGATTCACAACCTCATCTACTGATTTACCATCATTCCCTAATACCCTGTGTCTAACCTCACTATTACTTACCCGGTGATCTGTAGTGTCAGTTATTATGCCAAGCCCATATACCTTATTCAAGCTTTCGGACATCCCATTCTATTCATTTTACTTGAGCCATACATTGACCTTGTTATTTATTCGCTTATCAATCTAGACTGTTTTTATATGAGCGTATATTTGTGTGCCCTTCTTATCCTATTAATCACATGTCTGTAGCTTTATTTTGTCTGACTATAAATATTGAGTAACACTTGACAAAGATGGAGTTGGCTTCCCAGCCATCTTCCATACGTGTCAATTTTGCTTTGGTGTGCTTCATTCGCTTCATGTACAAAATATATGTATTCACAAATCAATTCTCGTTATTCGACTTATTTAATTCCGTTATTGGATAACGCGATTTAAGTCGACGATGATAAACGAGAATAGGTGATAACAATCATTCGTACAATCTAAATGGAGTCAGATCAACGGGTCACATCAGATCCCAGCAGACGCCAGCAATATTTCTAAGGCATCTGTGGTCAAATACTAGTAGCTTACGAGTGTCTTCTACTCTTAATGGCCATGTTTCGCTGCGGTAAATTAAAACAGAACGGACTGCTGCGCAGTATACTCGTCCTTTTATTGATAGACGGATATCTCGCCTTCGTCATAGGTGACGTAAGTTGGCAAAAGCCAAGCGAGCTTTTCGAATCCGTGCTGAGATTTCGTCAGACACCAGACTTCCAAGATAAGTGAAGTTGCCAACGCGTTCGACTACTTCACTCTCTATCCTTAGCTCCGATGTTGACACAAACCACTCCTGAAGCAACAGTTTGCATGTAGAGGGAAAGAAACGCATTTAAAACATTCTGACATTGTTGCTCAGTGCTATCAAAGGACTGCATTTTATCAGCGTCTTCACCAAACAGGACTATATCATCTGCGTATTTAAACTCGATAAGCGGAACTCCTGGAAGGAGATCAGTTCCTGAAAATTCAGTCGACGAGTACGTTGTTTCCATCAGCATGTCCATGATATATATATTTATAAGACAAATGAGTTATCTAGTTATCCTAATTGAGCTTATCTTCAGACATTATCTTTACTGATGTTTAAAAATAGTCTTTATTTAGAATAAGTGGCGATATTTTTTATATTCATTATTAATTTGTATTCTTATAAAACAAATTTTGTCAGGTTCTGATCACCTTGTCAACTCTATTGGTTAAATGTTAATGTTAGTCGAAAGTGCTAAATACTAGGAGGAATAAACGTTTTTGATTGATCATAACATTTTAAACAATTGGTGATGTAATAACCTTATTTTTACCTAGTTACTGATTAACTAATATAAAATATATTGACCGAAACATCTGGATTTTGTTTATAAACACGACTACTCTGTTTCATAATTGCTCACATGGTTTTACATGCATACACACATATAAATATACGCACATACATGCATAATTACACATCCAAATGCATAAGG